GGGGGCAATTCCTACGTCTTCAGCTCAAGTGCTTTAATTAGCAGCAGATGACCACCCCTGATAAAATGGCAGCAGCTAATGAGGAGCATGAGTTTCTCGATGGAAACGGGATGGTGGCATCATCTGAGGGCTGCAGGAGTCAAGGGGAGACTTTAATTAGTTTGGTGGCTTTTACAGAGGTCTGAGGCTAGAGGAGGGCAGGGGGCTTCTCAGATGCCCTGGTGAGGCCCCATCTGGAGCACTGGGACCAGTTCTGGGCTCCCCAGTTCCAGAAGGACAGGGAACTGCTGGAGAGGGGACAGCAGAGGGCTACAGAGATGATGAGGGGCCTGGAGCATCTCTTATGAGGAGAGGCTGAGGGACTTGGGTCTGGTTAGTCTGGAGAAGAGAAGGCTGAGGGGGGATCTGATCAATGCTTATAAATACTTAAAGGGTGGGTGTCAGGAGGATGGGGCCAGGCTTTTCTCAGTGGTGCCCAGGGACAGGACAAGAGGTAATGGGCACAAGCTGGAACATAAGAAGTTCCATCTAAATATGAGGAGGAACTTCTTTCCTTTGAGGGTGGCAGAGCCCTGGCAGAGGCTGCCCAGGGAGGTGGTGGAGTCTCCTTCTCTGGAGACATTCAAACCCCACCTGGACACGTTCCTGTCCAACCTGCTTTAGGTGGACCTGCTTTGGCAGGGGGGTTGGAGGAGATGATCTCCAGAGGTCCCTCCCAACCCCATATTGTTCTGTGATTCTGATTCTGTCATTCTGTGACCAGCGCTCTTCTCCCCATCTTTTACTGAAGCAAATATAACACTCGATGGACAGGCCCACTAAGCCCATGTAGTCAGTCGCCGAGCCCAGATGAAGGTCACCCTGCCAAGCGCTCATAATTCCTATTTGCACTATAAATATGCATTTGATTCATTGGCTCCAGTCCCTTCCATCACGCGGGACGGAAGAAGCGTAGCAGCAGCCCCTCATTCATCCCTGCAGTGATGTGAGTCATTGTCATGGCTCTGCCGCTTCATCCGTGACGATAATTGTAATTTATGCCCCAAAAGTGTTGGGGGAGCTGCATTCAGGCTTTTAAATCATCCCTGGGATGTGACAGCCAAGAGCTGGGCTGGAGTGGGGTTGGGGTAAAGTAGGTGAGTTCGGAATAGAGGGGCCCAGCTCCCCTGGAAAAGATGGTCCGGGATGAGCATAAATTCATAGAATGGTTTGGATTGGATCAGGAAAAAATTTTACATGAAAAGGGTTCTTAAGCCTTGGAATGGTCTGCCCACGGAAAGGGTTGAGGCCCCATCCCTGGAGGGATTCAAAAGACGGGTTGACATAGTGCTTAGAGACATGGTTTTTTGTGTGTGGGTTTTTCAATTTTTTTTATTTTTATCAGAGTTAGGTGGATGGTTGGACTGGATGATCTTAAAGGTCCCTTCCTACCTAGACAATGCTATGATTCTATTCCCCCTGCCATGGTCAGGGACATCTTCAACTAGATCAAGCAGCTCAGAGCCCCAGCCTGAAATGTTTCTAGGTATAGGACATCTCCCACCTCTCTGGGCAACCTGGGCCAGTGTCTCACCACCCTCACAGCAAAGAATTTCTTCCTTAGATCTAATCTATATCTTCCCTCTTTTAGTTTAAAAGTCCAGCTTTACAGCCACTCCCTGTTGCAGGAAGGGAAACTGAGGCACAGAATGCCTGAATGACCTGAGCAGCTCAGACACGGCCCCTCCAAGCAGGTGAGGGGTAGGTGCTGTGTGAACCAATGCAGGCAGGATGCAGGAACAACCACAAAACCATGGATTAAGGGCAAAGAACAAATTTAATCTCGATACCCCATGGATCTGGGAACCTCTGAAGCAGCCCCCGGGCAGAGGCAGGCGAGCAGGGGACACAGACCCCACGGAGCGAGAGTCCTTATTAGCAAGAGAGTCCTCATTAGTGAGGGAGTGAGAGAGCTCCCACTTGCTGTTTGGGCCTGAATTTCAAGGATTCAGGCTGGCAGAGTTTTCTGCTGTGCTTGTTGAGCACACAAAAGTGAGCAACAATTAGGGGGATAGATGTGTTTTCCAGCACCCCACACACAAGGCACTTGAGCATGTTTGCAGTCCTCCTCGCCAATCTTCCCTTACTTTCCCACAGGTGCCAATGGTGATATATAGAATCATAGAATCACAGAATGGTTTGGGTTGGAAGGGACCTTAAAGACCATCCAGTGCCACCCCCTGCCCTGGGCAGGGACACCTCCCACCAGACCAAGCCCCCTCCAACCTGGCCTTGAACCCCTCCAGGGATGGGGCAGCCACAGCTTCTTGGGGCAACCTGGGCCAGGCTCTCACCACCCTCAGAGGGAAAAATTTCTTCCCCACATCTCATCTCAGTCCCCCCTCTTTCGGTGTCAAACCCTTCCCCCTCCTCCTATGGCTCCCCTCCCTCATCAAGAGTCCCTCCCCATCTCTCCTGGAGCCCCTTTAGGAACTGGAAGGGGCTCTAAGGTCTCCCTGGAGCCTTCTCTTCTCCAGGCTGAACCCCCCAACTCTCTCAGTCTGTGGGGCTCCAGCCCTCCCAGCATCTCTGTGGCCCCCCAAGCCCCGCTCCAAGAGCTCCATGTCCTCAGATTGGTGCCCCCAGAGCTGGAGGCAGCGCTGCAGGGCAGGGGGGGGTGTCACCAGAGCGTGGTGGCTCCGTGTTCGGGGGGGGGGAAGGTTGGTGAGACCCCCGTGTCCCCCCTCGAAGCCGGGAGATGCTGCTGGAGGGGACCAGGGGCTCCCACCGGCGAGGGGGGCGTGGCTTGTGCTCTGTGGGCGTGGCCACCGCTTGGCTACAACTATAGAGGGGGGCGTGTTTATGGGCGGGGCCTGAACATTGAGGTGCGTGGCTTGACCCGACGTAGAGACGTAGTGACGTAGTGACGTAGTGACGGCGGGCAACGAGGCGCTGAGGGGAAGGAGCCGCCATGGCGAGCCAGTCGCAGGGCATCCAGCAGCTGCTGCAGGCCGAGAAACGAGCCGCCGAGAAGGTGGCCGAGGCCCGCAAGAGTGAGTACGGCCCGCCTGGCCTTGCCTTACCCCACCGCGGGGGCCTGAGGCGG